AACCTGGTAATCCTTGACTTAGATTTTAATGCTCATCCAGCTCAACACTACATGACATGGAGACCCTGGGGTGGGTTTATACCAGATTTCAGGTCATTCGGGGAAATGTGGAGGCAGACATCTGGAACCCTTGAGGGTGTGACATTCATGGTCCTCACTATCAGAAGAGGGCACACAATGCCTGAGGACACCAGTTGGGACATAGGTGCAGGTTACCAGGTGGATATTTTCTCTGTTCCAGGGTGTTCTTTGCATGTCATTGGCGTCCCCAATAATGACATGCAGAAGACATACAGAGAGGGGACAAAGGTTCGCACTTTAGAGAGGATCGAAAAGAACTATGCTCTGTAGTGTGAGAGCAGACCAGTGAAAAGTCTCACTATTTTCTGATAGAAAAGGAAAATGTCCTTTTCTCCTTTAAGTAAAGAAGGCACTGAAGAAAATCTACACTTTATTTTAGGCACTTCCTAATTCAGCCAAGTGGAAGCTGCTTTGGCCTGCTGTGAGACATCGTTGAAGGATACGACATTTGATTGCTTGTATCAACATGGAAGGAAAAGTCTGAAGACAACATCTCTCATTGGTTGTGTGAAAAGTATTTAATTACAAAAGTTAGATTAAAATCAGTGCTTCCAAGTGAATGCCACTGTTTCATGAGGTTTTTGGATAGTGATGCTGAATACTCCACTGCAGTGTGAGCGTCCCTTTCCCTCTAACTTCCCTCTCCATACTGCTATGTCTTATAATAAGATGTCCTTGATCTTCAGTGGATTTCCATGCTTACTAAGCAACAGGGCATATAAAGTTATCATGGTAAGTCCTTAGGTCTTATGCCCCCTTCCTTCCTGGAGGGTTCCTGCAAACTGTTCTGGACTTCAGAAGTCATTATTTGAATCAAATTTTTGTATCTGTAAGTAACCCCATGTGAAAACTGTGAACTGCACCATCTATCTGTGACACAGGTCCCAAGGTTTTCCACACATCTTTCTCCTAAGACACATTTTCCAAGGTGCCATATCCTCCTTGCAGTCATAAAGCCAGAACAGATTGCTTTGTGGGATATTTTAAACCCAACTCTATCATCCTCCTCCATAACCCATGCTAGAGAACTCCTGCAAGAGGAGAGAGCACACAACACACCTACACTAGCACAGCTGCTGGGCTGATAGGGTCTGTCTGGATGTCTCCTGCAGTCATAATGTGGGTTCTAGATTTTCTGATTGATTCACGGTTCAATGCTGGGATTATGTGTATGATAGCACATACCCTCAGGCAGGTAGCCTCAATAAAATGTAAGGGTGAAACAGATACTTTCTCTCTGCATTTCTTGCTTTTGCTGTTCCTGCATTCACTGTTTTCTGCTGCCATGAACTGTTGCCTTCTGCCATGTACCGCTTTGCATTGGAGCCAGCTGTGTGTAAACTGAAAGTTTGAGAAACAGTGAGCTATAAAAACTTTAGTTTCTTAAATCTGAGTTTCCACTATTTTGTCTCTGCCATGAGAAAATAGAAACCAACATAGAATTTGGTGCCAGATGTGGGGTTGTTGCTGTGACTATACAAGTCCATCTGGTTCAAGAGCCTTTGGAAGTGGTTTGTAGAAATATTTGGAATGTCGTGGAGGTTTTGCTCGAAAGGAAAGAGCTAAAGCACCTTAAGCTGTTCTGTGTGGGAGGTTCTAGTCAGAGTTCAGAAGACCAAAGGCTTAATGAAATCTTTCTCATAAAGCCTGGGCTTAGGATATTTTGGCTGGGAAAAGGATTATATTGGTTGTTGGACTCCAACTGAGTATCACAGCTCAGTAGAAAGCTTGTCTGCACATTTTCGTGCCTAGAGACTCTGCCTGAAGCTGAGATTAAGGGCAAGGGACCAACTAATTTGACAAAAGAAATTTCAAAATACTCAAATGTTGAGGCTGTGATGTAAGTACTACTGGGGGCTTTTAGCCACCTTCATGTTATGTTTTGCAAAGAGTCCTACAGACTGTTTTAAAATATTGTGAGGTAGATAAAAAAGAAAATGACAATAAAATCTGTGGACTAAAACAGTGGAGTTGACAGTATTTCCATTGACGAAATAGAAAAGGAAAATACAAAAAATGCCCCAAGAGCATCACAAGATACTGTCTCAAACAGTTGCATCCTCAAACAAGAAAAGTAAGTCATTGCTTAGAGAAAAATGCACCAAGAACTGTTGCCCTCTGCCATGGAATGGTGGAATGATGGTGGCTGCACCATGTTCTAAATTGGAGGAGACAGAGAAAATTTGCTTCTCAGAATCCAGTTAATTGCTCCATAATCCATGCAAGTCATCCCTACAGCTGGGGGTGGGTGGGAGGGAATCTCGTCCTCCTTCAGTTGGCAGTGAACCTTGGTATCGTTCACGTGGCAGTGATCTTAGGTACATGCAAAAGACAAAATTCCTGAGGGTAAAAAGGCTTGCACTTGAATTTCCAAAAGCCTGGGAGACCAGGCATTGTGCCCACTATGTAAAGATGTGCACAGAACACAAAAAGTACAGTGAGGATCACAAACAATTAAAAAGCCCAAAACCTGGATAGTTTGAAGAGAACAAGAAAGGTAGAAATTAGGCCCTAGTAAAAGTCCATGAGAACTACAACTACCAGAAGTACCACAGGGATAAAAACACGTAAGGCTCAAAATTTTCCACAGACTGTAGAAGATTTTAAATATTTAAATGTAGGACTTAATTATGTTTGGATATTTGAATTGCTTTGATCCCAGTGATTTATGTTCTCTGTTTTATACCCTTTGGTACTGTAATGTTTATCTTGTGCAATCACATGATGGGAGTGCGTAACGTTCGATTTGTGCAGGTGCTCACAGCTAAGTGTTTACTTTGTATATTGGAAGACACATGGGCATGGACTTCTAAGCAATGCTGAAAGTCTTCAGACTCTGGAAACTTTTGAAATCAACAAAAATGCCTTTTAAGTAATGGGATGTATGAGAGTCATTTCAGGGGCAGAATGTCATGGTTTGTATTTAGATGTCCCCAGAATGCCTCATGCTGTCAAGGGGTGCTTTTCAAGAGTCTGCGATTGATTTGTGCTTGAATGCTAGGGTTATGGGTTGGAGTTCTACATGAGTTCTGGGCAGGTACCCTGCACACAATACAATGGAAGGAACAAGGCTGGGTCTCTGCTGCTCCTTCTTTTTGTTGTTGCTGCTTTTAATTTTTCTGCCATTTTGACCTGATCTATGCTGCCATGTGTGAATCTTCCTTGGAGCCACATCAGTATGGACTCAAACCTGTACAAAGTGTGAGGTAAATCAGCCGTTCCTCCTTAATTGTGGGTGTCAGGTAATTTATCTCAGCCAGGAGAACAAAGGAAAGAACACAAAGGGGTGTAGGAGAAGCAGGTGGGAACTAAACAATAGATCCTGGTCCAACCACCAAGGAGAAGTCCATCAGCCCTGGGGAGTGGACACTGAGGTTTTTCTCATATGAGTAGCCAAGACTGGGCAGTGATTCCCAGGCACATGCAAGGCTCTTTATCAAAATGCAAAGAAACAGCAGTGAATCCCGCATGAGCACTGTGCAGTGACAGATTTCAGAAATAGCTGACATGGTAGAGCCCAACCTGGGATCAAATTTAAGGCTAGATGCCAGCAAAGATTCTGACTTCAAGGAGATTGAATTTATTCTGATAAGGCACAGGATATTTTCAGGGAAATGACTCACAAACTGAAATGTAGAGGTTCAGGAGCTTTTCCCAAAAGCACTGTCTGACCTGAAGTGTGAAAGAAACGCTACAGCGTAAGGAGGCTGTGGGGTCAGCAGGGAGTGGCGAACATAGCTGCCCGGGCCTCTGAAAGAAAGAAGATGACTCCAGGACATTATGCAGGCCCCTTCTCTGGAGAGTTTGCATTTACTTATGGGCAAAAAAGACGCAGTAAAGAGCTTGAGGCTGGTTCTGTCAAGTGAGATTTGGAGGAGGAAGGAGCGTGGAGGTGGCTAGTGCACTGGCACAGTTGGCTGAGGAGAGAAAGATGGTGGTGACTGGAAGGAATGGAAGTCAGCAGGACAAGGTGGGCATGAACATATTGTACGACTAAAGAAATACAGCTGTGGATTCTTGAGCATTAGAGGAGATGAGTGTGTGTTAATGTTAAAATATGTGCGGTGTCAAAGAATACCGTGTGGATTTAACGGTGGACAGACAGTGGAAACGAAATCTAATTGACTGGCTTGAGGAACCCCAAGGAGGTCTCTCTTCCCATTTACTCTCACTGCACATCAGGTTCTGGAGAAAAGGAAATTTTCTTGAAAAAGCTGACATTGGAAATGAATTTAAAGTGTGAAATGGAATTTAACTCATAGATTTGTAGATGGAGAAATCAAATCACATGAAGAAACTTGTCATCCCTCTAAAAAGGCATTAAATAGGGCAACCTGGTTGTCACAGAAGCTATGAGTTGGGCACAGACAAAGAAGAGCAGCTTCTGAGAAGCCTGACTGCCCATGGATCTAATGCAGTGCTGCTCAGCCCAGCTGAACAGAAATGTCAAATAAAGATAAAATTAGAAGGTGCACTTCGTTTCTCCCAGGAAGACTCCCAGAGGGAGTTTCTTGCTTAGCATCATGGCTTCCGACTTAGAAGGACAGGTACGTCTAGTGTGCAATAGGACTGGAGGTGGTAGGAAGCACAGTGGTCCTGCAATAAGAAGCACAGGCAAGGGAGAGAGATATTTATGACCATAAGTGACACTTGTGCAGGCTGCACTCTGGGAACTTTTGTGTGCTGTGTTCCACATGTAGCTATGGTGTCCTAAGATCTTGGTCAACTGGCACTAGGGAGTGAGGTTGGGGAGAGAACAGAGCATGTCCACCTTGTGCTAATGCGGACAGATTGTTACAATGTGTGCAAAGCTGCCCTCAGGCTGCATGTGGCTTTTCTAGTGATCAAACTTGGTAAAGATTTTACAGGGTTTCGAGACAGAGATCGAAATGCTAACATACACATTTAGCAGGCACCCCTCATGGAGACGAGAATCTCCCACAGAACAGAAGGCTGTTGGTTTTGTTGTGCCTGATGAAGAACAGGAAGGGGTGGTCGGCACGGAACTGCTTTGGAAAAAATCCAGACTCAGGACACATCAGACAAGCTGTTGCTGCCGCCGCCTCTGTGCCCTCTTCATTGACCTCCACCACACTCTTGTGCATGAACTTGGACAGACACAGATCACTGTCGGCCAACATCCCAGAGAGGTCTGCGTTGCCCGGATCAAAGACATCAACCACACCCAGATGCTGCATCACAGAGACCATGTCATATTCTTCTTCCAGTTTAAATCTTGGAAGGAAAACTGACAATTGTATTCTATGCATGTGTTCGGGACTGGTCCAGGTTTGGAATTTCTCAGGAGTGAGGGCTTTTTCCACCTGAAAAATCAGGGTTAGACTTTACCATTCAGGTATAGTACCCATTCACTACAATCCCTTCTTGGGCAGCCAGCTTCCTCTGTCAGGCTGGTGGTCTCCAGTGTCACACACTCTTCTGGTAGCTCTGAAAGCCTGTGAAGTCTGCAGGCTGTCTTCCAGCCAGCCTCTGCCATGCCACACTAAGCTGAGGCTTCCTTGAGTAGGAGATGGGTCTCTACCTGCTTGTGACCACTGCGAATCAGTGCCCAGGGCAGGGGGCAACACTCTGATGTATTTGCATTTGGTGTGATGTTTACATTCTGAAGGAGGCCTAGTTTTGGAGCAGGAAAACCATAACTTCTGAGCAAGAAACAGAAACCTTGTGCTAGCGTGCCAGCAGGGCAAGGGCTGAGGATGTAAGCAAATTCATTTGTCAACAGGAACACAACATATGGCCTTATTAGGCTCCCTAGCTAATCTTGACTAGAAAGAAATAAAGCTTTACAGAGGAGGTTCCTGGAAAATTTACAAGGACAAAGAATAAGAAAAAAAAAGGAAAAGCAGACAATAGAAACAAAAATAGCACAAATGGCTTTGGAGCTTTCATCTGAGCAAAGCAAAGGGGCACAGCATAGAGATGCAACACACACGGAGCCGAGATAGCACCCTCCAGGCCCAACCTAGTGCACAGGAGCAGGGCCGGGGCACTCTGCAGGGAGAACTCCTGCTCAGTGCCAAAAATAGATTCCCACAGCTATGCATTTGCAGATGTTTTTCCTTGTTTCTGGATCTCTGTGTTACTACAGCAGATAGGCACATCACCTACTAACTTCAAGCTGACTTTCTATAAAGCTCCTCACAACCAACTTGCTGTTCTTGCTTGATATAAGGCTCTGGATGTACAAAAAGAACCCCAAAAGGGATGCCACCCCTATTAAACAAAATATCCACATAAGCAGCAGTGTCTCATGTAACACAAGGACAGACCAGGTTGCCAAGCTAATTGTGACATGTTCCAGGTTGGTGTGTGTCCCCAAACTGTCATGCAAGAAGCCACAGCCAAAGGCCCATGAGCATTGATGTCCCCAGGCTCCCTGTCCTGTGTGTCGTAGCTTCCTTTCTTGTGCTTTTTTCTCACAACAAATGCAGTATCTTCTTCTCTTCAGCTCTGTCCCTCTATTACATGACAGGTACTATGTTGAGCATTCCAGGGGAGCTCATTGCTGGACATGACAATGTGGGGCTCTGAGTGACTTTAGAAAAAGACTTTTCTAGGTCAGGAAGGGGAAAGAGGGACAGCAAAGTGAGGGAGTACTTCTCAGTGTGGTTCTGGTGGGAAAGGGCATGGGGAATCCACCAGGTTCCTCAGGCAGGAAGGGGACATATACCCAGACCACCATCTCACCGTGCTGAGGTCCACGCCCTCATCTGGGAGCACCACAACCATGCTCAGCTCCTGGCCCTTGTAAGGCAGCTCCACCACCTGGGCCCCTACCTCGCTCACATGGGCCCAAGGAAAAGCGCTTGTTTGGAACATCATCTGCACTGGCCTCTCCTCTTTCTGAGGGATGAACAGAGAGACACATATGTCACATGAATTCTCCAAGCAGAAATAAAACTGCCCAAAGTAGGTTCCTGAGTGCTCACACACCCAGGATAGAACAGCTATATGGGTTCCCAGTGACCCCAGGGAAACCTGAGCCAGGCCTTCCCGCAGGCATGAACAGTCATGGACTGGGCAGAGGCAGGAGCAGCCTGGAGAGGTGTTCTGGCCACACCGTCCAGCGGGAAGCTCTGAGGGCTCCCTGGGCGGGCTACTGCTTGGCTGGCAGCGGGCCCAGGGCTCCATGCAAAATATATACAAATCATGAAATAAAGTACATATCATTTTCAAATGGAGAGGTAGGTGAGTATGTTAAAACATACTCATTTTTTTTCTGATTAGTTTTCTCATCTTCAAGTGATTAGGCACGTCCAATTTTATTATCTCTAATGGAAGTTGTCAAGGTTAGTATTTAGGTCTTTCCCACTCATATTTAACATTAGACATTAGAAAATAGTGAATTAATAATTACGTTGACTGGAAATAATGGAAATAAATAATTGTTTGAATGTAAAATGATTTGTTTAAATATTTCTTTTCACATTTTCACTACCCTGTGCGGTGTCCCATCCATATAGCAAAATATCTTATTGTTTCTTCTGAGGTAACCTTGACTTACAGGAAAATCCTCAGTTTCCCTACTAAGGTTGCAGCAAATACGTGCAAAAGAAATTATCAGACATGAAGAACAGCCATTCGTGAAAAAAGTTATAAGCAGCAAATGTTCCTTACCCTATAATGGTGTTCTCCTGAGTTTAAAAATCAGTTCAGACTTACATAGTTTCAAATAACTTATAGTCACTTTATGCACCTGCACAGGTAAATATCCTTCTTGTACTATTTTACCAAAGGATTTTGGTTAAATGCCAGCTTACCTGGTTTATTTTGAAAGGCTGTTCAGTTGTGTATGACTTCTTAAACTGTTTACTCCAAGTGCCATTGAAATAGACAGCATTAAGCAGAACCAGCCTGCAGGCCCCATCAATGACATTCTTGCCCAACAACTCTTCAATTTTTCCTGTCGAGAAACACAGCAGCTGCCTTCAGTGAGTGTTAATAATCACCACATTGATCAAGCTATAGGACAATGTCTGGGAAGCTTAATCATGAAGTTTCCAGGCTAGCTGAATTAGTATGGTTAGGAGTTAACAACTCAAAAACAACCCCTAGAAGTGTTGTTCATGCCCATGGACACTTGGGGAACATCGCTGCACTGTAGGCAGTGACAGGCTTCTGAATTACTCAGGAAAAGCAGGTACAGGTTTTCAGGGTAAATCCTGAGAGGAATTGACTGACCTTGTCAGATACAAATGTTACATTTCTTGTTATATAGGTCTTGCTTTATCTTGGTCTTAAGCATCCAGCAGAAAAGTATAAAAACAAGGTATGAAAAGTAAAGCCATATTAATATGCTGAGCTGTAAAAGGCTCAAGTCAACAACTTTGGACATTGCCAGTCTTATGGAAAACTCACTACTATTATGGGCTGCTGGACTATATTGGGATAGTTTGCTGGATTCATGCACCTACAGTATTTTTTTTCTACAGTTTTATTGATAAACATATAGCAATGAGACAGTTTCAAATCAAAT